GCTCTGGTTGTTCCTCTCCTGGAAGATAATGCCATGTATGAAGAGACTCGCTTCAGCCAGGTCACTGCTCCTCAGGACTGGTGTCAAGTAAGTAAACTGGAGATGAATGTGGCCGAAACAAAAGAACTTATGAATCCAACAGAACCAGATGAAACCAGTCATATCCTCCCTGTCATACTCAAAAATCAGCCTGTAGAGAAAGTGGAACAATTTAAGTGCTTGGGCACAATTATTGATCAGACATTAATGAATGACTGTACTCTATCTAGCTATCTAGCTATTGCAGCCACTGTGGAGAAGGCTTTGAAACAGCAATACAGCATTTAGTCCTTCATGTTGCAAAATAAAATGTACAGAATTAACCAAATGAAATAAAATAAATCAAATATGAAATGAAAATGTGTTAAGATTTTATATTAATAGTCCTGTGTGTGCTTCTGATTTAAGCTGAGATGTATTCTATAGGCTATATAGATAGTTTATAAACCCACAGTCTAAACGAGGTCCTCCTTATTTATATTTTAAATGCTTTAGCAACAAATTTCCAAGTAACATGGCATGGCTTTAAAGATAAAAGACAGTATAAATATTAAATTGATTAGGTTTATAGTAATACTGTAGATAAATTGATTTTTACAGATAAAAGTTGAACTTCAGTTGAAGTTTATGATCAAACTCGTTGATTTGATTGTTTCAGTTGTTTTTTATTTTTATTTCAACGTTTCTGAAACTTGCAGCACAGTTTCTACTTGTTATAAAAGGCATTAAAAGAGAAACATTAAACATGTTGGAGGTTTTCAGTGAGCTGCTGCGTGCGGCATGTTGTTATGCCGCGCAGGGACGGTGACGTCACCGAAAGTACATCTCACAGGTGCACGCGGCTCTCAGTAACCTGTCAGAGCCTGAGGGTTACGGTGCTGCAGACACATCTTTATCCGGCTGACCAACTCTGAGAAAGGTACTGTTGCTCTATGTTATCCTTTCAGTTTGCACCAGATGAATCTGATGAGACTGTATAAGAAGAGAATAACACAATAAACTGATGATGTTGACTGTAGCGACCCCAACTAACACCTAGAATTTAACAGGGGCACTTATTAAATAAAGTCAACTGATAGGCTGTATTTCAGAGAGGTTGCTGCTTTTCTGGTGGACAAAGAGTTTTATACAGAGGAGCAGTTTGGCTGCTGTCCTACTAATAATTTAACGGTGTAAGGGTACAAAACAAATGCTTGATAAATCTATATGTACACAAGGGTGCAGGTTTTGTTTCAACATCTGGGGGGACACATATGAAATGGGGGGGGTCCTCTGCCAGAAAATTCATAGTGCCAAACACTTAAAGTTCAGGTAAAGTAAAATTAGTGATTTCTTTCTAAACACAATATACATGTTAGAAACACTTGTTGAAAACATGCAAAGACTGTGTGGTGCTGAAGTGTGGAGTTAGACCGTTAAACTGTTTGTACCATTTCTGTGTCCAGGATTTTTTGGGCGGGACAAAAAGCCTGTTCAATTATGCAATGGAAAACAATTATCATAACTCCTCCATTACTACATAAATACTGTCACTATAAATGTTAACTTTGAGCACATAGCATCAGTCAGTGTGTTTCAGTCAGCCCCTTTGTGTGAGTGGCGAGTTTGCGATGTTGAGCGGGTTCTCTGAGCTCTTTCAGTCTGATGAATACATAAATCAACGTCTCTGTTAAATGTCATAATCATATAAGTATAGTTTATCAATGTAGTCTATCAGCCCAAATCAGCTGGCCTGCTGTTACTACCTACTGCTGTGGATGTGTGCTTTGTGCTAATGTTAGCTGCTGTGAGCTGATGATTTCTTTTTAATTATCATTATTATTATAATTTTGTATTTTATATTTTATATTTTATTTTAAACTTTGTTTTTAGCTGATGAGTGAGAGGCTATCACTGTACAACGGCTCTGGTTTCCTGGTTCTGATGTGTGTGCGGTGCAAACACAAACTGTGTGTGTTACTGGGTTAGCTGCTGAGGGGCTGATGCTGCAGAGTGACTCATTCTTCAGTTTGGGGCGTTTTTGTGTTTGTGCTACTGATTTAGCTGCTAATGAGGGGCGTTGATGGCTTAGTGGAAGAGCGGGCGCCCCATGTACCAGGCTGTTGCCGCAGCGGCCTGGGTTCGACTCTACCCTGTGTCCCTTTGCTGCATGTCACTTCCTCTCTCTCTCTCTCTCTCCCCCCCTTTCACGCTTGATTGTGATTGTCCTATTAAATAAAGGTTAAAAATGCACTTAAAAATATCTTTAAAAAAAATTAGCTGCTAACGAGAGTCTGACACTTCACAGCAGCTTGTTCTCTAGCTCAGAGGTCAAATATGTTACTGTGCTGCAGGCTTAGCTCCTAACAAGAGTCCGTGGCTTAACAGAGATCTTCAGGTCAGCTCCTAAAGCGTATCAGAGCAGAGCATACTGCAAGAAATTTCACGATTTTGAAACCTTATATTATATTCTGGGCGTTTTTTTCCCCAATCATTAAAATTCAGCTTGGTGGTTAATAACACACTTTTTTTGTGGTGTGATGTTAATTTCCTGCAGTCTTGTGAATTTTAAGGCATCAATTTGTGCACTGATTAAATGTCTTTAACCTTGTCAAAATAAAATCAGCACCTATACATGCACATAACTAACACATATGACACATAAAGGCTGTATGCATGAGCTAAGTTAACTATGTTAACATGAAGTTACCACTTGGGACTGAACTTGCTGTAAGGTCGAACATTGAATTCACATCTCTGCAGCATCTTTTTTAAACAAGCTAAAATACACAGTTTTAAGTGTGTAGTCATTGTTGTTGTTGTTGTTGTTGTTGTTGTTGTTGTTGTTGACGACCTGTTGTTGTTCACCTTCTCTGGCAGGTCTCAAGACAAAGATGGAGAATGTTAATACAACAGATACATATGGTGGAAATATGTCTTGGTATTATGATTATGATTACAGTGGCGATATAATATTTGACACGCATGCTGAGCTGAGACGGTCTCTGAATACTATGTCTCTCATTAGTTACTCCCTGGCCTTTGTTCTTGGTGTGCTCGGGAATGGAGTGGTTATCTGTGTGACCGGGTTCAAGATGAAGAAAACAGTTCACACAGTTTGGTTCCTCAACCTCGCTGTGGCCGACTTCCTCTTCACAGGATTTCTGCCCCTGAATGCGGCGTACCTGGCTTTGGATTTTCACTGGCCTTTTGGCGAGTTCATGTGCAAACTGAGCAGCACGTTAATCTCCCTGAACATGTTTGCCAGTGTCTACATTCTGATGATGATCAGTGTGGACAGATGTGTGTCTGTATTGTGGCCAGTCTGGGCCCAGAACCACAGAAGTGTGCAGAAGGCATCTTATGTGAGTCTGAGTGTGTGGATACTGGCTCTGATTCTCAGCTCTCGAATTTTCATCTTCAACTGCACTGGGTCATCATATCTCCATGATGACAGCATCACCAGCCGCAAACACTTTGCCCTCTATAATTACTATACAACACCTTCTGTGAATCAGCTGCAGGCGATGACCATCACCTTCCTCCTGGCCATTTTCAGGAGTTGCCTGAACCCACTGCTGTATGTGCTTGTCGGCCAAGATTGTAAGAAAAGGGTCTGTAAATCCATCCTGAGTGCAATGGAGACAGCCTTCCAGGAAGATGTTTCTGACTCTCACACTGAGTCAGTGGACACCAGGCAGAGCACTGAGATGTCAGCTCTTAATACTGACGTATAAGGCTGTCAGTGACACGAAGAAACAAATAAACGGTCCAAGTGACTTTCACAAATATAACTGAATGTAAAATATTTTCTTTTAGTTTTTCTTCTTCTTTTTTTTTAATACATTTTCTCCTTCATATTATCTGAGATTGAAACATTTCAACCTGAGACAGTTTGACTGATGTGAACTGATGTTTTAATCTAAATGGAGGATTTCATGAATGGCTACGTGTCTGTATTTAATCCTGTAAAGCAAATGCTACTCTAGATCTATGTGGTCTGGAGTCTTAGACTAAGAAGATATTTAAAATGACATTTTCAAAGAGAACCCAGCAATAATTTTAAAACAGGTGTGACATTACATGGTTTAATATGTGCAACACAAGCAACAAAAAATTAAATGGTTGTCAAAGAGAACTTTTAATCTGTCTCGTACACAACAAATTTCGATATTTTTTTTTCCTTCTTGTATGTGACTGCTGAGAAAAGAGAATCTACAGTGTGAAATATTATTTCTGAACCACTGCACAAACAGGCTGGTAGTATGTTCGTTTTGTACCGCATCGTCCCCACCTCAGCCCAACTTCCTCTATCAAGATGTGAGAAAGCTTGGGTACATGACAGTCCGCACAGAAACCGTGATCGAGCTGCTTGGTTGTGCAGCTGTAATTTTAACACAGTAAATCCCCCTGAGGTGTTTATTTCTCATGGTGAACTGAGTACCTGGATGCCACTGATTCACATTGATCTACGCAACATGTGGCAGCACCATAGAAACTAATTCAACTGATTGCTACATACCAATCACATTGTTTTATAAACATTTTATAGTGATTTCTTTTTACTGTAAGGACAGGCTAATGTTAGCCTCATAAAACAGCTACTAATGGTGTTTGCTATGAGCTTATTATGTTCCTGAAGCAGCAGCCACATTTACTTGGCTCAGTTTGGTCTTTAGTTTTCATTTGGCCTGAACTGCTTCAAAGGTTTTCAGAGGTTTCACGCTCTCACGCCTACAAAAACTCCACAGTTACCAGCTGAAGCAAAGAGGAGTCAGTGTGTGATGCTGTGAGGTTATTCATGACATGAAGAAACAAATGCTGTTAATGTACATAGTGAATTATTTGTATAAACATGTTACTGTAAAATACAGATATGTGTCAGTGTAATAATACATCTGTTGTTACTGTGAGCTATTTGATTGTATTTTTATTTGAAACATAAATGATGATGTTGATTGACATTGTAGTTTTTCTTGCCATCATTATTTACCATTATTGAAATATTATTTGGACATATCTGTTTCCCATTCTTAATGTTTATTGGATAATCGCTGCATATACTTTCTGGTATCATACACTGATATATACTGCAGAGACAAAGCAATAAGTGTTTGTGTGCATCATGCAGACAACTCATCTGACAACACGTCATGATAATTTAACTTCTAAGTTGCCAATCACAGGATGTAGCCTCCATTTGTTATTGATGGTATTTCTTTTTATAATTTAAGGCTTATTTTCATGATATTAATTGACCAGCAGGGGGAACTGTTTTAAATCTTAATATATATTTCAACTCAAAGGAGCTTCTTCATTCATCTTCAAGAAATGTGAGGCTGATTCAGTTTATTTTATAGCACCTGTTTGCACTGAAGAGCCTCCTTTTTCCTTGTTTCTTCCTGTTTAATATTCAAAAATATTGACTTATAATAGTCCTGCATTTAATGTGGCGTTTGAAATAGATGTACATTTTACACTCTTTATTCATGGATAAAAATCCTGTGGTACTATAGTCTTACTATAGTTTGGATATAAATAGTAATGAGCAATGAACAAGCAAGGAGAAATCAGCTCTTAATACTTCCTGTTGTCCATGACATGAAGAAACAAAATGTACAAATGATTTTCACAAATGTAACTGAATGCAAAATATTTATGTTTTGTAGCATTTATTCTATGTTTTCTATACAATTTCCCTTCAGCTCAGACTGAAATTTGTATATGTATATGTTTTTTACTGAATCTGACAACATCAGAGCAAATGAAGGCCTCAAATAGACTTTGAGGATATATATAAAATGCCATTTTCTGAGAAGACACAGCAATACTTTTGAAATAGGAATTACAGTATTTATAGTTCAGTGTGTGCAGCACAAGAAACAAACCAAAAAATGTGGTCAACAAAGAGAACTTTTCATCCGTCATGTACACTACAGTTTGTGAGCACTTTCCCTGTCTTTATGTGATCACAATTAAAAGAAAAAAAAATACAGAGGTGTCTATAGTCTATAGCCATAAATGAAAAGGCTGGCACATAACCTAAATTAAATACTGATAACAGTAGTCAAGTGACAAAGACCGTTGTGGCTTTCTTGCTATACATTATAGTAGACTGTGAATGACCTTATGCAACAGATTTTACTGAATATAGAATCTGCAGGGTGAAGAATTATTTCTGAACGTCTGCACAAACAAGCTTGGTATTAGGTGCATTCATTTATTATCACAGACAGTCTTCTTGATATAACTTGACAACACATATTCATTCATTTATTGAAGTATTCTCCAGACAGGATGTGGGAACTCCCTCAGTCATTTGTGATTATGTATAGTTTTTTGTTTTTTTTTTCATAGAACTAGTAGTAGCTTTTATGTCTTGTGTGTAATTCTGATAATTTAGGCAGCATTGATTTTTTGTTCTTTTGTCTGTATCCTTTTGCAAGATCTTTTAATTTTGATGGTATATGCAATGTACTTTTATGATTTTTTTTATCAGTGCTGTGATGGTGTTTCACATAAGCCTATAATAAAGATATATTCATGGAAAAACTAGGCTTCAGTCAACAAGAATTGTTGAATCAAAGTTAAATTATGGGACAGTTTCATCCATTACTACTGAGTAAAGCAATAAAGTCTGTAAATTAATATACAGTAATACACCTTCGTTCAGTTTAACTCTGCATGCAGTGGTTAGTTAAAATATTCGTCGTCTAAGGGTCTTAAAATGAAATATAAAGTTACATGTGGTGCATGGGGACATTTTACTGCAGGCAGTCTTTGTTGTGTGTAGGGAAAACGTCACATACGTATGCAGCGTGCGTCATGACGTCGTGAACCCTTAGACAGCATACAGTAACACCACAGGAAAGGAATGGTCCACCTATTCTTTGAATGACTGTTGTTATGAATATTGGGATATGTAGCATGGAGTTGTCTGTAAAAGCTTTGTTCTAATGTATTTTATTATATTTCTATTTGAATTATGAATGATGATGATCTGTTTATCATCCATGACACCTGATCTGATAACACCTCAGGATAATTTATTCTAACTACCAAGTTGCCGATCACAGAATATACATGTTGTTATTGATCATCTGTCTTTCTTTATAATAATAACTGACCAGCAGAGAGACCTGTTTTACATCTCAAAGTGTATTTCAACTCAAAGGAAGTTCTCTATGCACCTTTAAGAAATGTGTGACTGACTTAGCTGCGTTATTCTTTCTGATGGTAAATGCTGCTGTGACTTTCTTGTAACATGATGCAGAGCAGTGACATTAAGGTAGTTACAACGGGCCCCAGTGCACCCTATTATGAAGGGCCCTAGTGCGCACTAGTTACAAGTTATACACCTAAACTAGCTACCATATTTTCTTATCGTCTGGTCACATGATCAAATAGAGACTTGACAACTGATAAAGTCAACATACTGCACATATGACCCTGTAATCATGATCCCATATATGCAAATGACAAAAATATAGAAGAAAATAAGGAAGTATTCATTGAATTGAATAGTTTTATAGTTTATCTAGTGTGAGTGAGCATTTATTTTGTAACATATTTTGTTATATTCCTACTGACTATTTTACAAGACAAAAAACATAGAAAACATGATGGAGATAGATTTGCATCTCAGAGGCGTATCATCTTTAATTTAATGTGAGCTTTGCTTTGAGCACAGGCATATTTTTGAGGTGGCATTATTAATTACTCAATTGCCCCACTGCAACTGCCTCACTTGCACTGTCTATATTTATGCTCCTGATGCAAGGTGGAGAGAGGGGACATTAAATGATGTAGCCTACATGTTCAGGTGTTAATTTAAACAGGAAACCAAATAATCACACTAACCTCAAGCAAACATGAACTCAACCCACAAAGGAAAAACCCATTATGCAACACTGGTAAACATGAGACGTCACCACTTTCCACTGCTCAGTTATTTATCTCAACAACTGACAGATTTCTCTTTTCCAAAATGCAGATGCCCTTTAATGTGGCATTTGGAGATGTGGTCTACTCAGATGAGCTTGTTTTAAATACTGGGGCACCACAGGGCTGTGTGCTGGCACCACTGCTGTTTTCCATTCATACAAATAAAATGACTGCCCACAGCAATAATGTCAAGCTGTTTAAATATGCAGATGATACGGCTCTGGTTGTTCCTCTCCTGGAAGATAATGCCATGTATGAAGAGACTCACTTCAGCCAGGTCACTGCTCCTCAGGACTGGTGTCATGTAAGTAAACTGGAGATGAATGCAGTCGAAACAAAAGAACTTATGATTCAAATAGAACCAGATGAAACCAGTCATATCCTCCCTGTCATACTCAAAAATCAGCCTGTAGACAAAGTGGAACAATTTAAGTGCTTGGGCACAATTATTGATTAGACATTAAATTTTAATGGAAACTCAACTGGTGCCTGTTTTTAATCAGGAAGCTGGGGAGCTTCAGTGTTAGCCAGCACATACTTGAAATAGCATACAGAAGTCTGGTTAGCATTGTATTGTTAAACATTACAGCATGGTACAGCAACCTGAGTGCAAGGAGCAAAAACAAGCACTCCACTGTCGACATAAACACCTTTATTCCCTGCCATACAGGCAATGAACACAGAATGACTGTACTCTATCTATCTATCTATCTATCTATCTATCTATCTATGAATCTATCTATCTATCTATCTATCTATCTATCTATCTATCCATCTTAGCACGCTTCTACGTTTAAAGACTCGGTTGCCATTTTATTGGTAGCCTATATTCAAATTTTGGGGCAATGAATAAATAAGATGAATCTTTATTGGTCATCAGGAGGGAAATTTAGCAAACTGAATAACAATATAAAGTATTAAATATTTCAGCCACTGTGGAGAAGCTTTTATACACAGCAAAACAGCATTTAGTCCTTCATGTTGCAAAATAAAATGTACAGAACAGTTAACCAAATGAAATAAAATAAATCAAATATGAAATAAAAGTGTTAAGATTTTATATTAATAGTCCTGTGTGTGCTTCTGATTTAAGCTGAGATGTATTCTATAGGCTATATAGATAGTTTATAAACCCACAGTCTAAACGAGGTCCTCCTTATTTATATTTTAAATGCTTTAGCATCAAATTCCCAAATAACATGGCATGACTTTAAAGATAAAAGACAGTTTAAATATTAAATTGATTAAGTTTATAATAATATTGTAGATAAAGTGATTTTAAAAGGTAAAAATTGAACTTCAGTTGAAGTTTATGATCAAACTCGTTGATTTGATTGTTTCAGCTGTTTTGTAGATTTTTATTTCAACGTTTCTGAAACTTGCAGCACAGTTTGTACTTGTTATAAAAGGCATTAAAAGAGGAACGTTAAACGTGTCTGAGGTTTTCAGTGAGCTGCTGCGTGCGGCATGTTGTTATGCCTCGATGGGACGGTGACGTCACCTATAGTACATCAGGAGTCTCACAGGTGCACGTGGCTCTCAGTCACCTGTCAGAGCCTGAGGGTTACTGTGCTGCAGACACATCTTTATCCGGCTGACCAACTCTGAGAAAGGTACTGTTGCTCTGTGTTATCCTTTCAGTTTGCACCAGATGAATCTGATGAGACTGTATAAGAAGAGAATAACACAATAAACTGGTGATTATAATAACTATCATTATTGTTATTACAATTTTATATTTTATTTTAAACTTTGTTTTTAGCTGATGAGTGAGAGGCTATCACTGTTTAACGGCTCTGGTTTCCTGGTTCTGATGTGTTTGCGGTGCAAACACAGACTGTGTGTGTTACTGGGTTAGCTGCTGAGGGGCTGATGCTGCAGAGTGACTCATTCTTCAGTTTGGGTTGTTTGTGTGCTTTGTGCTACTGATTTAGCTGCTAACGAGAGTCTGACACTTCACAGCAGCTTGTTCTCTAGCTCAGGGGTCAAATATGTTACTGTGCTGCAGGCTTAGCTCCTAACAAGAGTCTGTGGCTTAACAGAGATCTTCAGGTCAGCTCCAGCTGCAAGAAATTAAACGATTTTGAAACCTAATATTATATTCTAAGCGTTTTTTTTCCAATTATTAAAAATCAGCTTGGTGGTTAATAACACATTTTTCTGTGGTGTGACTTTAATTTCCTGCATTCTTGTGTGAATTTTTAGGCATCAATTTGTCTTATATTTAAATGTCTTTAATTAAATGTCTTTAATTTTGTCAAAATAAAACCTACACCTATGTTAACATGAAGTTACCACTTGGGACTGAACTTGCTGTAAGGTCAAAAAGCTGAATTCACATCTCTGCAGCATCTTTTTTAAACAAGCTAAAATACACAGTTTTAAGTGTGTAGTCATTGTTGTTGTTGTTTTTGTTGTTGTTGTTGTTGTTGTTGTTGACCTGTTGTTGTTCACCTTCTCTGGCAGGTCTCAAGACAAAGATGGAGAATGTTAATACAACAGATACATATGGGTCTTGGCATTATTATGATTACAGTGACTATATAATATTTGACACACATGCTGAGCTGAGATGGTCTGTCAGAATTATGTTTCTCATTGTTTACACCCTGGCCTTTGTTCTTGGTGTGCTCGGGAATGGAGTGGTTATCTGGGTGACCGGGTTCAAGATGAAGAAAACAGTTCACACAGTTTGGTTCCTCAACCTCGCTGTGGCCGACTTCCTCTTCACAGGATTTCTGCCCCTGAATGCGGCGTACCTGGCTTTGGATTTTCACTGGCCTTTTGGCGAGTTCATGTGCAAACTGAGCAGCACGTTAATCTCCCTGAACATGTTTGCCAGTGTCTACATTCTGATGATGATCAGTGTGGACAGATGTGTGTCTGTATTGTGGCCAGTCTGGGCCCAGAACCACAGAAGTGTGCAGAAGGCATCTTATGTGAGTCTGAGTGTGTGGATACTGGCTCTGATTCTCAGCTCTCGAATTTTCATCTTCAACTGCACTGGGTCATCATATCTCCATGATGACAGCATCACCAGCCGCAAACACTTTGCCCTCTATAATTACTATACAACACCTTCTGTGAATCAGCTGCAGGCGATGACCATCACCTTCCTCCTGGCCATTTTCAGGAGTTGCCTGAACCCACTGCTGTATGTGCTTGTCGGCCAAGATTGTAAGAAAAGGGTCTGTAAATCCATCCTGAGTGCAATGGAGACAGCCTTCCAGGAAGATGTTTCTGACTCTCACACTGAGTCAGTGGACACCAGGCAGAGCACTGAGATGTCAGCTCTTAATACTGACGTATAAGGCTGTCAGTGACACGAAGAAACAAATAAACGGTCCAAGTGACTTTCACAAATATAACTGAATGTAAAATATTTTCTTTTAGTTTTTCTTCTTCTTTTTTTTTAATACATTTTCTCCTTCATATTATCTGAGATTGAAACATTTCAACCTGAGACAGTTTGACTGATGTGAACTGATGTTTTAATCTAAATGGAGGATTTCATGAATGGCTACGTGTCTGTATTTAATCCTGTAAAGCAAATGCTACTCTAGATCTATGTGGTCTGGAGTCTTAGACTAAGAAGATATTTAAAATGACATTTTCAAAGAGAACCCAGCAATAATTTTAAAACAGGTGTGACATTACATGGTTTAATATGTGCAACACAAGCAACAAAAAATTAAATGGTTGTCAAAGAGAACTTTTAATCTGTCTCGTACACAACAAATTTCGATATTTTTTTTTCCTTCTTGTATGTGACTGCTGAGAAAAGAGAATCTACAGTGTGAAATATTATTTCTGAACCACTGCACAAACAGGCTGGTAGTATGTTCGTTTTGTACCGCATCGTCCCCACCTCAGCCCAACTTCCTCTATCAAGATGTGAGAAAGCTTGGGTACATGACAGTCCGCACAGAAACCGTGATCGAGCTGCTTGGTTGTGCAGCTGTAATTTTAACACAGTAAATCCCCCTGAGGTGTTTATTTCTCATGGTGAACTGAGTACCTGGATGCCACTGATTCACATTGATCTACGCAACATGTGGCAGCACCATAGAAACTAATTCAACTGATTGCTACATACCAATCACATTGTTTTATAAACATTTTATAGTGATTTCTTTTTACTGTAAGGACAGGCTAATGTTAGCCTCATAAAACAGCTACTAATGGTGTTTGCTATGAGCTTATTATGTTCCTGAAGCAGCAGCCACATTTACTTGGCTCAGTTTGGTCTTTAGTTTTCATTTGGCCTGAACTGCTTCAAAGGTTTTCAGAGGTTTCACGCTCTCACGCCTACAAAAACTCCACAGTTACCAGCTGAAGCAAAGAGGAGTCAGTGTGTGATGCTGTGAGGTTATTCATGACATGAAGAAACAAATGCTGTTAATGTACATAGTGAATTATTTGTATAAACATGTTACTGTAAAATACAGATATGTGTCAGTGTAATAATACATCTGTTGTTACTGTGAGCTATTTGATTGTATTTTTATTTGAAACATAAATGATGATGTTGATTGACATTGTAGTTTTTCTTGCCATCATTATTTACCATTATTGAAATATTATTTGGACATATCTGTTTCCCATTCTTAATGTTTATTGGATAATCGCTGCATATACTTTCTGGTATCATACACTGATATATACTGCAGAGACAAAGCAATAAGTGTTTGTGTGCATCATGCAGACAACTCATCTGACAACACGTCATGATAATTTAACTTCTAAGTTGCCAATCACAGGATGTAGCCTCCATTTGTTATTGATGGTATTTCTTTTTATAATTTAAGGCTTATTTTCATGATATTAATTGACCAGCAGGGGGAACTGTTTTAAATCTTAATATATATTTCAACTCAAAGGAGCTTCTTCATTCATCTTCAAGAAATGTGAGGCTGATTCAGTTTATTTTATAGCACCTGTTTGCACTGAAGAGCCTCCTTTTTCCTTGTTTCTTCCTGTTTAATATTCAAAAATATTGACTTATAATAGTCCTGCATTTAATGTGGCGTTTGAAATAGATGTACATTTTACACTCTTTATTCATGGATAAAAATCCTGTGGTACTATAGTCTTACTATAGTTTGGATATAAATAGTAATGAGCAATGAACAAGCAAGGAGAAATCAGCTCTTAATACTTCCTGTTGTCCATGACATGAAGAAACAAAATGTACAAATGATTTTCACAAATGTAACTGAATGCAAAATATTTATGTTTTGTAGCATTTATTCTATGTTTTCTATACAATTTCCCTTCAGCTCAGACTGAAATTTGTATATGTATATGTTTTTTACTGAATCTGACAACATCAGAGCAAATGAAGGCCTCAAATAGACTTTGAGGATATATATAAAATGCCATTTTCTGAGAAGACACAGCAATACTTTTGAAATAGGAATTACAGTATTTATAGTTCAGTGTGTGCAGCACAAGAAACAAACCAAAAAATGTGGTCAACAAAGAGAACTTTTCATCCGTCATGTACACTACAGTTTGTGAGCACTTTCCCTGTCTTTATGTGATCACAATTAAAAGAAAAAAAAATACAGAGGTGTCTATAGTCTATAGCCATAAATGAAAAGGCTGGCACATAACCTAAATTAAATACTGATAACAGTAGTCAAGTGACAAAGACCGTTGTGGCTTTCTTGCTATACATTATAGTAGACTGTGAATGACCTTATGCAACAGATTTTACTGAATATAGAATCTGCAGGGTGAAGAATTATTTCTGAACGTCTGCACAAACAAGCTTGGTATTAGGTGCATTCATTTATTATCACAGACAGTCTTCTTGATATAACTTGACAACACATATTCATTCATTTATTGAAGTATTCTCCAGACAGGATGTGGGAACTCCCTCAGTCATTTGTGATTATGTATAGTTTTTTGTTTTTTTTTTCATAGAACTAGTAGTAGCTTTTATGTCTTGTGTGTAATTCTGATAATTTAGGCAGCATTGATTTTTTGTTCTTTTGTCTGTATCCTTTTGCAAGATCTTTTAATTTTGATGGTATATGCAATGTACTTTTATGATTTTTTTTATCAGTGCTGTGATGGTGTTTCACATAAGCCTATAATAAAGATATATTCATGGAAAAACTAGGCTTCAGTCAACAAGAATTGTTGAATCAAAGTTAAATTATGGGACAGTTTCATCCATTACTACTGAGTAAAGCAATAAAGTCTGTAAATTAATATACAGTAATACACCTTCGTTCAGTTTAACTCTGCATGCAGTGGTTAGTTAAAATATTCGTCGTCTAAGGGTCTTAAAATGAAATATAAAGTTACATGTGGTGCATGGGGACATTTTACTGCAGGCAGTCTTTGTTGTGTGTAGGGAAAACGTCACATACGTATGCAGCGTGCGTCATGACGTCGTGAACCCTTAGACAGCATACAGTAACACCACAGGAAAGGAATGGTCCACCTATTCTTTGAATGACTGTTGTTATGAATATTGGGATATGTAGCATGGAGTTGTCTGTAAAAGCTTTGTTCTAATGTATTTTATTATATTTCTATTTGAATTATGAATGATGATGATCTGTTTATCATCCATGACACCTGATCTGATAACACCTCAGGATAATTTATTCTAACTACCAAGTTGCCGATCACAGAATATACATGTTGTTATTGATCATCTGTCTTTCTTTATAATAATAACTGACCAGCAGAGAGACCTGTTTTACATCTCAAAGTGTATTTCAACTCAAAGGAAGTTCTCTATGCACCTTTAAGAAATGTGTGACTGACTTAGCTGCGTTATTCTTTCTGATGGTAAATGCTGCTGTGACTTTCTTGTAACATGATGCAGAGCAGTGACATTAAGGTAGTTACAACGGGCCCCAGTGCACCCTATTATGAAGGGCCCTAGTGCGCACTAGTTACAAGTTATACACCTAAACTAGCTACCATATTTTCTTATCGTCTGGTCACATGATCAAATAGAGACTTGACAACTGATAAAGTCAACATACTGCACATATGACCCTGTAATCATGATCCCATATATGCAAATGACAAAAATATAGAAGAAAATAAGGAAGTATTCATTGAATTGAATAGTTTTATAGTTTATCTAATGTGAGTGAGCATTTATTTTATAACATATTTTGTTATATTCCTACTGACTATTTTACAAGACAAAAAACATAGAAAACATGATGGAGATAGATTTGCATCTCAGAGGTGTATCATCTTTAATTTAATGTGAGCTTTGCTTTGAGCACAGGCATATTTTTAAGGTGGCAATCTGAATTACTCACATGGGCCTGTTTTTCTGCTCAACATATTGTTGGAGGGCCCACACTCACTGGGCCCCCTCACCCCATGGGCCCCACTGCAACTGCCTTGCTTGCACTGTCTATATTTATGCTCCTGATGCAGGGTGGAGAGAGGGGACATTAAATGATGTAGCCTACATGTTCAGGTGTTAATTTAAACAGGAAACCAAATAATCACACTAACCTCAAGCAAACATGAACTCAACCCACAAAGGAAAAACCCATTATGCAACACTGGTAAACATGAGACGTCACCACTTTCCACTGCTCAGTTATTTATCTCAACAACTGACAGATTTCTCTTTTCCAAAATGCAGATGCCCTTTAATGTGGCATTTGGAGATGTGGTCTACTCAGATGAGCTTGTTTTAAATACTGGGGCACCACAGGGCTGTGTGCTGGCACCACTGCTGTTTTCCATTCATACAAATAAAATGACTGCCCACAGCAATAATGACAAGCTGTTTAAATATGCAGATGAAACAGCTCTGGTTGTTCCTCTCCTGGAAGATAATGCCATGTATGAAGAGACTCGCTTCAGCCAGGTCACTGCTCCTCAGGACTGGTGTCAAGTAAGTAAACTGGAGATGAATGTGGCCGAAACAAAAGAACTTATGAATCCAACAGAACCAGATGAAACCAGTCATATCCTCCCTGTCATACTCAAAAATCAGCCTGTAGAGAAAGTGGAACAATTTAAGTGCTTGGGCACAATTATTGATCAGACATTAATGAATGACTGTACTCTATCTAGCTATCTAGCTATTGCAGCCACTGTGGAGAAGGCTTTGAAACAGCAATACAGCATTTAGTCCTTCATGTTGCAAAATAAAATGTACAGAATTAACCAAATGAAATAAAATAAATCAAATATGAAATGAAAATGTGTTAAGATTTTATATTAATAGTCCTGTGTGTGCTTCTGATTTAAGCTGAGATGTATTCTATAGGCTATATAGATAGTTTATAAACCCACAGTCTAAACGAGGTCCTCC